TATACCGCGAAGAGGTGATGCTTTTCTTCAACCTCGAGTGATTTTACCTGATGAGTTGACCTGCACAAATGACATGCGAAAAAAAAAAAAAAAAAAAAAAAAGGTGGACATCGGACGGATTTGCACGCTTGTGGTTGGTGATGGAGGTTAGTTGCCGGGTCGTTTGGAATCGCTTCTTCCCGGCTTCCGTCCTTACTTTTGCCCTCGAAGGAATTCTCTTTTCTTGTCCCACTTCATTATTCCATATAAGAAGGAGATCCCTTACCAGGTGTACTGGGTGATATTTTTCATACTTGCTTGATATATATGTCATGAAGGCACAAGAAACAATTATATGCTTGTTGTATATCTATCTAAGGAATGGGAGTAGGTAGGACCTACTACCTACCTACTCTGTAAGCATCGTAATCACTAATCACCGTGCTCTATTTAGTGGCATCAGGGGTCCCCAGTTTAAATTACATGGTACTACTACTACCAGGTACTCCGAGTACTACGACTAACTTAGGTAGGTACTGCCCATGGTTGCTATCTTGGTCTAAGTAAGGAATTATTCTCACGCCTGGTCCTTTGAATAGGATATTGACTCCTGATATGCTCTTCTCTCTGGTGCTCATACATTGTCAGACCAGAGGAACTATACCTATACTACCTTACTATAGCCATTGAAAGATAGCCATAATTTCTCAGTGCATGGAAACCATTGCATCTTCACTATCATGACTTTCCTAGGCCTGCCGGTAACCGGAAATTTTGGTTAACATCTTGTCCTTAATTTGCACTCTTTAGCGTCGGCCCATCAACCACACTACGGAATTGTCCCACACTCAATTCTGGCCTTTCAGTTTCAATCCTCCTGGACTACGGAGTATGGAGACTTGAGAGTTGAGACATAAGAGTACCTTAATAATAGTTCACAACTTCCGGCTTGGAAGTCAGAGACTAGACTTGATATCTGGTATCTATCTACTATCTATCTTCTCCGTACGTATCTATGCGGTGACAGCATTGTCACTCATCCGGCATAGGAAGTCTCCCAGATAATGTGATACACTCCAATCCATTTTGTCAGATGATTGAAAGCCTCGGTTACAGTGATCGTACAGTGACTTTATCCAGCGATCCTCCGCCATGGTCTCATAGTGCATATTGAAATACTACCAGCTGGTCTCTCATAATCACTCATTGGCCCCCTGCTTCCCTCTGTCAAATCAAGGTCTGGCAACGACTAGGTCATCAGCCATATTTTTTCCAGCGAATGACATGACCTTGGCAGCTTGAGATTCTCACACGATGCTGATTAACAGACTCCAGCATTCGGCTCAGACCTCGTGGGGATTAAATTAGACCATATCTCAGATCCCACCCTACTACACCAGTGCAACTTCGCCATCTATTCATCTACTATGACTGAATGAAATCATGAAAGCTACTTGCCTCTCCGTTCTCGACATCATCGTCTGCAGCTCAACCTGATTAGCCGCTGTCTACTCCTTACATGGTGCATCTCAAGCCTTCCATTGAACCTTGACGGTCACAAGCAAATAGCTCGTCTTTTATGGCCATTCTGGGCGACAGACATCATCATATTCTTCGTTCATAACTAGGTATACGAACCGCAACCCCATTATTACTCCGAGCAATCATTGCATCCTGGGAAAATAGCCACCACAGAATCACATCGGATCAAGTTCGCCCTCAGTTCAGTGATAGGCGGCTATCCCACCCTATTTCTTCTTGGTATACCAATCAGCCCAACATGTACCCCAACTCTAACTATCACTCCTACATCACACTGCAGATGTCCAACTTTCAGACTCAGCATCCGACGTATTCTGTACAACAGCAGCAACTCTAACTCTCGAACCCAGGAGTATGCAACTATCATTAGTTCACAGCATTAGACGTAGTAAGAAGTACATGACGGACTACCAATGCGCAAACTCAAAGTCCCCGTCATCTTTGAGAGGTCATGGTGGGGCAAATTGATCGTGGATGGCATTCGCACCCCCTGCAACTACACTTGGATCGTCTCTGAGCATTTAATCACTCCGGAGTGCACTAAGGTAGGCATGTAGGTAACAAGCCCGACATCTTCATTTGCATTCAGTCGTCTCGACGACCGCTGAAAATAGGTGCATTCTTGGCCTCTTGTCATTGGCGGACTGATCATTTGGATTTTCACACTCTCTTCAAGGGCTGACTACCTTAGAGATCGAATGACGTAGGTCTCTTCTCTACGAGGGAGAATGTAGATAGACAGTGCCTAAATGTCACACTATGTCAGCATGTCAATATCCTATTGTTGGTTAGCTCATAATGTCCGTATCAAAAGGGACGGTATAATTCCATAAGTAAGGACTGCTATCATTCTCACTGAGGCGATCTCGTCGATTGATACAGCAGGCTTACTATTGTTAGAAGCCAGCTTCCAGTGATGAGCACCTGCTGTCCCGGGCCTTGAGTCCTTGATTCAAGCACTATCAGCTCTAGGTATCTTCTCTTTCTCATTGACAACACACTGCAGATAACCAAGGCGGACCGCTTTACTCAAGGTCTAAAACCCTGCGGGATGGATACTGACTCTTGCATATTACTTCAAGACCATCCCCCGCAACATATCGGGAGCTATACCTTTCTCTCTTCCACGTAACCTTCTCCAACAATTCTTCATGGTCGATATCTAGGCCACATTGGAATATACATAAAGGCAGCCGCCAGCACTCAAGCTAAATATCGGATCGGTTTCAGTGGCTTCAAAGCCTCCTTTGTCTTCGCCCAAGTCATGCTCCCGCATTTGGACTCGCTTGCTGAATCGGGTTAACTCCGTCCTTCCGCCATGGTTCGATGGGAGTTGTCGACAGTTTTGCAGCGTTTGAATGGAAGCTGATGAAGATACAGACAGGACCCGAGATACACTGTCTAGAGCGCCAATGCTTTCTATGGAGTCCTATGTGATATATCGCAAATTTGCCCCGGCGGGATCATTATCCGCTCAATCGGACATTGAAAGGACAATTCAAGGACAAGAAGAAGATGATTCGAACATTCCTCATGTACGATGCAAGGCAAAAGAGAGGATGGCTGGACGCGACTGTAGAGGATGAGTACATCACCGTCTTTCCGTTGACGTTTGTCGTTGATGGTCATGACCAAAGCCCCTAAGGTAGAGCAATGGTAACACGTGCCAGCACCCTGGACACATTCGGAGCAGGGGCCGAGACAGGCCCTCGAGGATTGTGGCTAGTCTTTACTCCGTATTGAGGTCCGAGAATCGCGGGGCAGAAAGGAGAGGGATGATCAATAATGAAAAGTAGCCCGGTATCATTATTGATAGTGGCCCAGTGGGAAACTTGAACCAGCCTAGATCTTGTCTCCAACGTAAACAAAGAACAAGATCAAAGTCAGCGAGGGAATTGTGAATAATAAGTCACACCATGACCAACTTATTGATTGATAACTTATTCATAGCAGTGAAATTGAGGGGCAGCACATCTGTGATATCTCCAGACTGGTGTTTTTCGTGAAGTGGAAATTCTGAAGTAGATTTAAGAGCACCTTATATGATATAATAACCTTCAGACAGAAACTTCAAGTCTAGACATGAGAAAATAGGTTGATTTACTCTTCCTATGCACTGAACATCTAATGACCCTTGATGTTGTGGGAGCAATTAACTGCCTCAGGCAGAGGTGTGATGTGGGCTCAATAATACAGGGAAACAATAATAACAAAACATCCATTGAAGCAAGAGCTGGTTCACTACCTGCCTCATTATTCTTCAAGACTCTTCGATCTCCCAGACACTCCGATGCACCTGCCACAATCAGAGAAGAAACAATAGGATCCATATACTCCTTAACAGAATTGAGGGAAACCCGTCATCCATCTATTTGGGACTGAATCCAAACAGAGACAAGCGTTCCCCCTCTACTACAGCACCACGTTCCGTTTTCCCTTTCTTTCTGAAACGCCTGATATTTCTCTTTATTCTGTCTCCAGTTTCCTCTCATTTCTTCTTCATATTTCTCTTCTGGAGATTGCTTTCTTGGACTGTTCTCTTCACCTGGAATTGGTGGAATCTATTGACACCCACATGGTCCCCCGTCGGCTGTGCCACTGGCCTTGACTTACCGCCGAACGCTGAGTTGAATGCCCCCTGGCTCAGGCTCACCACCTCATTCCCCCTCCGCGCGCTGCCTTTCGCCGTCGAATCCTCAGCAACGTGTGTGAAACCCGCAGTACCCCGATCAGGAACAAAAAAAAAAAAAAACCTTCAGGCTGGTCCTTTACTTGATACCAAGAGGATTTCGCTTTCTTCTGTACAATATTTCTTTGTTCTAAGTTGTGTGGTCATTTGGAGAGCGCGTACTTCCTGGTTAAGCGTGGTTCGCTCTCCCCTTAAAAAAGCTCCTCTATCTATTTAGACGATCGATGAGCAGTCGTCGAGCCCCGACATTCTCGACCGCAAAGGAAGACCAACTCGTTCGCTCCCATTCGCATTCTGTTGAATTCAGCTTATCGTCTGCTTGGAAAATTTTTGCTAGGAGTTATATCGTCACCATCGGATACGCATTGTTCGTCGCTCGTCGGTAGCGCAGCGAAAAATCCAATTTTGCTGACCCATCTCGCCAGTCGGTCTCCGCGTTGAGCCCTTCTGTTTCGCCCCTGGGCTATTCGCCTTCGTCATAGATTCGTGTGCCATCTGTCAAGACGGCTCGTCATTGGGAATTATCAACAATCGTATATTACTCGCTGCGTGGATTTGCTTTCTGGTTGCAAAGTCGGCTCGAAGTTGAATCGGTCCGGAGTTGTGGGACGAGGTTCGCACACTAGGCGTCCATTTTGACAACAACGGCTCCTTCAAATCGACTTTTGGAGCCAACGTTGCTCGACGACGTTGGAGTAGTATCTATATGATCTCAGATACCTATGAGAATGCTAAATTCTCTTCGACCACAGGTGGAAAGTCTCCGATAGCGTTGGGAAAACCTTACACCATGCCGTGGAACTTGTCCACCGATACCTCGACAGAGGCCAATTCTCGTCCTCCCCTAACCTCACAACAGTCGAATTCCCTTCCTTCCACCCCATATCAACATGCGCGCAATCTTTCGTTCCACTCGAGGACGCCTTCTCCCCCTCACGAAAGCACTTCGCCACGCTCGACCCATTCCGAGTCGATACACTTCCCCCCGTCGTTACGGAAGCCGTTCACAGGCTGTAAATATGAAACAGCAATGGCCTTCTTCCGACGGAGGATGCCTTATACAATAGGTGCTGATCTGTTACCGGAGGAAAAGGAAGGCCTCAAAGAGCGGCTTGAAGCAGAGGACGAGAAGAGACTGACTCAGGATATGTTGGAGGTATACGATCGATTATTACCGTCGGCGGAGAGCGATGATAGACGCCGTCAGCTGGTCCGAAAGTTGGAGAAACTCTTCAATGATCAGTGGCCAGGCCGGGATATCAAGGTTCATGTCTTTGGGTCGTCTGGGAATAAGCTCTGCTCAAGCGATTCAGACGGTGAGTGGTCATGGTGTACAGTCGGAAATTCTTGGAGGCTGACTCGTAGCAGTGGACATCTGTATAACAACGACATATAAAGAGCTGGAACACGTGTGTCTGCTCGCTGAAGTTCTCGCAAAACGTAAGGGGATCTAGGTTGACCTTCGTCGCTACCATTCACTGACGATGCCTTGCAGATGGAATGGAACGGGTCGTCTGTGTTTCCCATGCGAAAGTCCCAATCGTGAAGATCTGGGATCCGGAGCTGCGTCTTGCGTGTGACATGAATGTCAACAACACTTTAGCGTTGGAAAATACGCGCATGGTGCGAACTTACGTGGAAATCGACGAGCGTGTTCGGCCTTTGGCCATGATCATCAAACACTGGACAAAACGGAGGATTCTTAATGATGCAGGTAAGTTTTGACCCGTCTAAGCAGGTATCCTCGTGACATTCCGTGGTGACAATTCCGCTGTAGGGCTTGGAGGCACATTAAGTTCTTATACCTGGATCTGTCTGATTATCAATTTCCTGCAAACACGGGAACCCCCCGTGCTCCCGAGTCTCCAGGCACGACCTCATAAGAAACGAGTGACAACAGATGGCCTAGTTTGCTCATTCGACGATGATCTTAGCTCACTCGTGGGGTACGGGCGAAAAAACAAGCAGACGCTCGGAGAACTGCTCTTCCAATTCTTCAGGTATTATGGCCATGAGCTCGACTATGAGAAGTACGTGATATCTGTGCGGGAAGGCAAGTTGATATCGAAAGAGGAGAAGGGGTGGCACCTTCTCCAGAACAATCGTCTCTGCGTCGAAGAGCCATTCAACACGTCGAGGAATCTGGGCAATACAGCAGATGACACGTCATTCCGAGGCGTTCATATGGAGTTGCGTAGGGCTTTCAAGGCAGTATCAGAGGGCAACCTTGAGGATTGCTGTGAGCAGTATGAATACCCGCCTGAGGAAGAGCGATCATGGGAGCGACCGCCTCCTCAACCACGACCTACCCTGACAGCTCCGCCACATCCTTCCCGGGGCGGCCGTGGAGGTGGTCGTGGAGGGCGTCATTCGAATCAGTACACACGCGGGGGTCATTCCGGAGGCCGCCGTTCATCGAATACACTGAACAAGCCCAACAGTTTCCGGCAGCCGAATCCCGGCATGAGTGCCACAGAACTATCTCTACAGGCGCAGCACGCACAGTACCTGTTGCACGACCACCTTTACCAGCAAATCCAGATTCTGCAAGCACAGGAGCAGGAATTGCGATTGCAACTGCAAAACCAGGCGCTGCTCACCGGAAGGCCCCCTCCTGTGCTCATCCGCCAGCCGTTTATACAGTTCCCCATTCCTCAGCAGCAACAGCCGCAGCCTGAGTCGGGTGTTGATGATGGTTCTCGGTCTAGATCCGGGACTCATCCACCTCCCAGCGCGAATTTACGTCCGCACGCATACAACAGTTCCACCTATCTTCCGGTCGCCGTCAGTCCCGTACAAGGAAGTAGCACGAATCCTCCGTCGCCCTCTGCCGCAACTGCCCTCCCCGAGCTCCGACGTACACCGCGTCGCCAGTCCATAGCGAATGGCTCTCCTGGTCGATCACTCAGGGCACACTCGCAGCCGGCGCGGCCGGTGAACTCCCCGGCTCTGCAAAGCTTTGCTCCATTGTATTCCGTCTCTCAGCCTGTCGACAATTCTCATCTCCCAAAACAGCGCAACAATTCTGTATCTCCCCCGGAGGGGAACCAGAGCGAAGACGAGAATGCCTTCATGCCCAGCAGTCTTCCCACTGTGTCCCGTACAGCGTATCTGGATGAAAACCGACCGTCTGAGTACATGGGGTACTATTTGGCCACTTCTCCGCAATTGCAAATGTATCATCAGAATGCCATGCTATCGCCCTTGTCAGCCCCAGTAGGTCTGGCACTTCAGAATGGCAGCATTCTGCCGTTTGTGGGAGCCCCGCAGGAATACATGTCGACAATACCTACCAGTGAGGCCTTTGGTTCGCCCCCTGAGAGCAGTGCTGCGCCCTCTGCCAATTCCGTGTCATCATATCAGAGAGCGACTCCTCGACCAGTGGCCTCTCACGACCGGAGCGGTCCTCTGATAGTCGACGGCTCGGTGCCTTTGAGCGAGCAGCGCACTTCGGTTTCCGGGGAGGCTTATGATCAGTATGCCACTATGAGCCACTGTACTTCTACTTCTGACGATCGCAACACGGACACCCCTGCCAGCATCTCCGACTCGTTTTCCCAGGACTATCAGGACAATAGCTCAGTTGAGATCGATCAACCAGTGTGCTTTACCAGGCAGGCGATTGACACGCCCAAGTCAGGAAATGCAACTGACGTCTGGGTAAACGGGCACCACGGGAAGCCTGGTCTACTCTCAAGCAGGTTGCAAAATCTCCATGTTTCTAATGGAGAGAAACTCACCGACGCCTCGCCCAGGTCTAGCCCAGAAAGGTTCAAAGGCGTTCAGTCGCGTCTTGAGATATCAGATCAAGAAGCCTCTCGCTCTAAGCAATCTGGGCTAGAAAGAGGATTGCCTTCGTCGGGAATGTCGCTGGCAGCAGAATCGGCTCCCCCCTCAGCGATTGGCAAACGTCGCTCGAATAACGCGGACTCCTCTGACAAATTGAATGCCGTTATCCACAAGACGAAGCCTAAAAACCGTCATGACGGTCCACACAACATCTCTTCTGGACCAGGGGATAGCAAGGAACGGCACATGCCTCGAAAGCCAAATGGTATCAATGTGCCGACTCATGATTCAGTCAGCAATCATGGAAGCAATGGATGGCAGACAACCAAGAAAAAGCAGAAAAAGAGTGCCAAGTCAATGGAGCCCCGATCGGGCTTTCATGCGGGTGCTGAGCCACTGCCTGCAGACGAGTCGTTGAGGAAAGGCGGATGAGAAAGGCAAAATGTTCTCGTTGCTTGCATCGCGCTTTTGCTTCGAAGTTTATCAACTCCTATTCACACTGATGTTATGAGCTCAGGTCGGGCTGAGTCGACGTGGACTGCGGCGTTCTTTCTGCGCGCCATCTCTAATTGACCCATCACCGAGCGGTTATCATCACAATCCGACACCTGTACAGCACCTATGAAGGAGTTCCGAGATGTTTGACTCGTCGATTAGAGCAAAATTGCTGCTGGGTTTTGCATTTTCGGGGGAAGCTCTGTCAATTCTGTATAAAAGAGGCGGTAATCCTCGACGTTGTCTTCTTTGCGGTCTGGTCCAGCTCAACTGACCTGGGAGGTATATGTGCTTCGCCTTCCTTTTGTTTTGAGTTTGCGCTCGTCTTCTCTTTTCCCGTTCACACGTCGGCGTTTACAAGGTCAGACTGCGGCTTTTGGCAGTCTTGAAAGTCTATCCGTGGATTGCTTGCGGGATTTGCATACTTGCATACGACATCTGCGTCTGTTTGTTGCATTTGATTCTTCGACATGTTGACGTTTCTAACCTTGGCCATGTCCCTTGGGGTTGACCATATCTCCCTCGGATTGTCATTTGTGCCTTTTAGTTGTCTCTGCGGTTCAGTGTCCGTTCACCTTGCATGCGGGCTATGCATTTTCCTTTCCTCGTCTTCTGTTTCTATTTACGCTTATCAAAAAGAGAACAGGGACATACAGCAAATATTACGACCAACAAAAAACATTCATACAGTGGATTGAATGAGCTTTGCCGATACAAAGAGCCAGTGAAGAGTCTGGTTACCTTGTTTTTCCTTTCATTTTGTTTTGCCTGTTTAAACTGTGGTCGGCTTGGTTTTCGTGGTTGCTTTCCAATCGGCATTATCATCATGATCGTCTATACCATCATAGCAGGGAGCCAGGCGAGTGGGTCAGTGTACACTTTTTCTGATTGCGTTTCTTGTTTTTGAAAGAATTTGCGGTGGTGTGTGTTAGATATCATGCCAGTCAGGATGGACAATGAATCAAATGTAGAAATTTGGAAATTGTATAGAAAGCAGATCAATGAAGGTTGATCGGCCAGTGGCCTTGGTTCTATAGCTCTTCTTTTCTAGAACTGTATACACGGGACGTCCACACAGAGAGTACTAATAGCCTTTTGAGGAATATCCTCGTCAGAAGTAGCAGAACACGCAAGCCAGAAAGGGGATTGTCGGAGAGTCAAGCACAAGAAAGAAGTATGAGGACATGGGGGAAATAGGTAATTACATAAGATGGACGAAAGCGAACAGAATTAGAAACTCTTATCGACATAGATAAAAACATGGGTAAGAAGGAAGAACAATAGCAGAAACAAACACACAGAAGGCGCGGGTGTCACGACATACAGAATCCCGCGAACGTCAACTCATCATGATATCAAACGTGTAGCTCAGCAGAAAGCTTCAATTAGCATGTACGGGAAGATGACGACGCAGGCGGTCCAGAAGGTCATGATGCATTTGACGAGGGCGATGGGGAAGAGGTAGGGTGGGTATTCGCGGACAAGGACCCAGAGGGAGACGAGGGCGACGGAGAAGAAGTGGATGAAGAGGACGGAGGGCTTTTTGATGAGGCCGCCGAGGAGGCCAGCGGGGCCTTCGATAAGTCCGAGTTGGAAGTAACGGAAGCAACCGCGTTGGAGGGCTCGGAGGTATTGGTCTGTTGGTGGGATGTTAGTAGTTGGGCTTCAGTTCAGAGGTGAGTGAGCGAGGAAGGATTGGGGGAGATGAACGCACCGTCAGCGGAGAACAGAGAGTATAGCGCTTGTGCGAGGATGTTGATCACGGAGGCCGACTTCTTTCTCTCCCAGTGGAATGCGGAGAGTTGCTTCAGGACTCGCTTTGTGTCGCCCAGATTGGGGACCTTCTCTGGGCTCAGGAGATCGCGCAGCGTCACCACGTCGCTGAAGGCGACTGTCATTCCACCTCCCGTCAATGGGTGCCGCATGTTGAGGGCATCACCGAGGATCACCAGGCCCGGAGTTTTGCTCGCGGAGGCGGGGAGGAAGGAATTCGGCATGGATCGCAGCTGGCCTTGTTCCAAGGCGGCGAGGAAGGCTGGCTGGACGGATTCTGGTAGTGAAGGGAGGACGACGTTTCGCATGTGATTCTTCACACCACCATTCTTGACGGACGCTGATGGGAGGTTTTCGGGAATATCGACGAGGATGCGGGTCTCGTGGGTTCCGATCTGGTACAGGAGGATCGGGGCATTATCGCTCAGCAAAACATGACCGTAGTAAGGCTTCGGCAGTTTCGTATCGATCAGCTCGAGGCCCCAGAACCTCGAGCGAACCTTGGGGGTATGCGGGTGATGTTGTTTGCGGAATTTGGAGGCGTAGCCATCAGCGATGACGGTGAGGTGGCCAAAGTAGCAGGCCCGGACGTTATCCTTGGACGTGCATTCGACACCGAGAACCTGCTGGGTGTGCGAGCAAGTGACCAGGTCCGTCGCCTTGGTCTCGACAACACTGACATTGGGACATGCCATGGCGGCCTCGCGCAGCTTCATCACAAACCGGCCGTGGTGAAAGCAGCGGCCCTCCGGCGCCGGCGACGTGGGCGTGGGCTTCGGGTAGGGAATCGCCACGACATCCTTGAAATATGAGACATAATACCCCTCCACCGGGATCGAGTCGATGCCCTCCAGACAATCGCGGAGACCAAGCTGCTCCAAAGCCTGGACACCGCCGGGCTGTAACAACTCCCCCACGATGCGATCGGGCTCTTTCAACGAGGCTTCCAGGAGAATGACGCTCCGTCCCTGTCGTCCTAAAGCGACTGCGAGCGCGCAGCCTAGAATCCCTGCGCCTATAATCACGAGATCGGCATGGTTGTGTTTGAGTCGGCGGGCTTCGGCCGCATCTAAGGAGGGAGATTTGGTAGCATGGCCGTTGGTAAGAGCGGTGGCCATGGTGGGGAGGGAATTCGGTCAGCAGAATCGATGGAATCGAGGAAATTGGTGAGAAGCACGGTGCATATTTTTATTTTCCCCTCTGAGAGACGACAATTCAGTACGTAGTAGAGTAAGCAAGTAATGAAGAGGACGGGGTGTCGGAGATAGAAAAAGAACGATACTGACCTCTTAGTGTTTTGCTGGAAAGGGGCCAAGAGTGGCGTGACATGTGAAAGTTTTCTTTTCCACTTTGCTCTTCGCTGTGCCGGATTCTTATTGGTGAGGAGTCCAGGAACACCGTATGATCGCTGAGAATCAACAAAGGACTGACTGGAACGGGAACGGAAAAGAGCATCTTCTCTTCTGATCTGATCTGATCTGATCGATCCCGATGAATACCTGTGTCATTTGTCTCCATCTTATGATTGGCCACCATACCCAAGTGGTTGGCCAACATTGTTGCCTGCAAAAGGAGTAAGGGATTCAGCGATATCCTTGATCTTTGATTTTAATCTCATCATCTCGATTCTAATTTCGATGAGTAGTAATAGTAGTAATAAACCGTACAATTAGCGTAAAGTACAGAGTGTCAAGAGTATATATACAGTGGCTAAGGTGCCTATCGCATGATCCATTAAGGGCGAAGATAGGTCTAGGCTCGGCCAGGGCTTGCATTCAAACCCCCTAGATGGCATCAGACGGATCGTCCAAAACCCGTCTCTTCTGATGTAAACGACGACTCTCGTTCCATCGAGCAGCAATCGATTTCGGGTCATTGTCAATCTTACCCAGCACTGCCTCCAATTCGTATTCTTCGTCCCATCCCTTGACCGTCTCGCGGACATCGGACTGATTGAAAAGACGTCTCGCGTCAAGAGGTTGCTTCAACTGTTGTCTCGATGACTGCTTCAGTGTAGCATCATGTTTGAGTTCCCATATCGGAGAGCACCCCTCATTCTTCTCCTCGAGCAGATCGGCGATATAATGAAGATAGTCCAACTGCTCAGGGGTGACGGGGCCGGCGACGGCACCCACCGTAGAAGGTGGACTTAGAGTGCCCAAGATTCGGCGGACTTCGACCACAAAATCACGACTGAGCGCGCTATCGCGTGATAAAGCAGTAAGAATACACCACCGTAAGCCGGGAATGTTGTTTGTCGCGGCGAAGGCGCGGGCGAACATCTTCATGCACACCCCGTCAAAGGTCGCTGCAAATCTGTAGCGGGACATGTACACGGCCGTCAGAAGCTCCAGGGCCATTTCCGGCTTATGCTGGGAGATCAAGCGTCGGCTTGTCGCAACGGTAAGGTGGTGCTTGACCTTCATGTTCTTCGTAGACCAACAAAGCTGGTAGAAGCGGAGGACTGCCATCTGGACTATGTGGCCAGTTGCATCCTCATCGACCGCCATGACTTGACGGAAGAAGATGGGGGAGAAGCGGACAAGGTGACGGATACTCCGCCATTCAGTCTCGATGAGAGTACGCGCTGCACTAAGACCGTGCTCGAGCAAAGTTGCAATGACCGCCATCTCAACGTGAAGCTGCCTCATCTGGAACCGGGCATTCTTAGCATTTTGGAAACACTTCAACGCTTCCTTCAGCTTTCCAACGTGCAAATAATGTGCCATCTGCTTATGGAGTTTCTGATATTGGTCGACAGGTCTCGACGGTGTCGTCTCTTGCATCGTTCTCTGGTACCACGATAACGGATTTTGTGTATATGGCATGCTGTTAACTTCCGGCAAAGGGAATGACTGTTGGTCGAAGCCCATAATACGTTGAGACGTGGAGCTCTGCCCGTACTTCACACGCGCTGCCTGCAGCATTTGCCAGAACCCCACTGGTGCTCCTTCCAATGCGAGGCGACGAGACCGTAATATCTCCAGAAATTGCTGCTCGTTGATGGGGATGTCCCACGATCGTTGCTTCGCCATACTTGTAAATTCCGCAATCATGTCCTTGTCCCCTTTCTCTACAAAGGCCTCCAGGATATGCTTGTACAGCACTCGGTCGGGGACTATGTCATATTTATCGAGGTATCGGAAGACAAAATTGCGAATCTCAATCCCCGAATGTGAGACCCAGTACTCGAGAAATATTCGATCAAAAATTGGAAGAAAGTCGCGCCGGCGTCTCGTAAGCTTGAGCCTGTGCATCTCTTGCAATCCCGCGTCGACTCCCTCCCAGTCGCAGTTCAGAGCCTTGGCGTACACCAGTAGGCCCTGTGTTCGGCAACGAAGAGGTAGCCCATATATAGTCGTCATATCATGAACCAGAGCTTCGGCGTCGGCAACTCGTCCGAATTCAACATATGCCTTGATCACCGGGTTGAACAGTTTGTCGCTGGGCTGTTTTTCGAACTTTGGAAGAACTGTCAAAATCTTCTTTAACTGCCCGTTCAACAACTCGATGCTTCTTGTCTTCCTCCAAAGACCGGAGAGGTAGGCTCCGCACAAGCCACAATCACGGTCATGTTGTAGATTCCGCAAGAGAAACCATTTCGCAGTGGTGAGTCGGTGGGATTCAAGCAGACTCCGAAGCACAACGTCCACCATCTCCGGAGGGCAAGGGAACTTGTGCATGTACCGCGTATAAACGGTTGCAACTGATTCAATGCAACCCTTCTTCGCCAAAGCCAACATCAAAGTCTTCCACATCTCAGGTGTGATCTTATCTACCTCTTCGAGCCGCTCAAACACGCTTCTAGCGATAAACACATTGTCCTCTTTGCAGTTGACGAAGAATACTTTCACAGCCATCTCCTTCCTGTCCGAAGATATACCATTCAACGAGGAGGAATGTGCCTCCAGGAAGAACTGGGCCGCCTCAATGGGACGACCGCGGTCGAGCAGTTCCTGCATCCGTGTCGGGACGAGAATCTGCTCTTCACTCTGCGATGCCTCACTCTCTATTAACGCATCGGAGACTTCAACCGACGAGCTTGCATGATTTAGCTCGATGGCATTCTTCGTCCGCTCCATGGCGTCCACAACCCGGACCTGCCCTGGAGGAACAAAATCTCTTCGACCCAAACCACTCTCAAGATTCGGCCGTGATGTAAGCGCATCGACAAGTTGCGAACGTGCAGTTTCCAAGTAAGACTCTGCCTGGACTGCAACCCGCGGATCCTCCAGCCCCATGCCTGGACGTCGAATGCCCTCATGCTGCAAAGCTACCACGTCATCATCCTGCGTAGCCTGCCCTTCTCGTATCTTTCTGTCTGCCTCCTTCAACGACGCCAGCCCCATGAACTCGCCCGCTTCCGCTGCTTCCATCATACGGGCGAGCCTTTTCGCGGCAGACGTGGCATCGTAGTTGGGCGCGGAGGTCTGCAGGGCCCGTTTATTCTCGACAATGCGCTCGGCGACTCGGACTCGGCGATGAACATCGTAGGTGATGGCTGCGACCGTGCAAAAACTACCCACGGTTGAGCCGGCAAGGGCCAATCTGCGCAGAACCCGGAGAGTGTTTCGAGAGGGGACAGCCGGGGGGCTGTTGGTTGGCTTGGAGATCATGGTGGTAGAACCTGTTGCACCGCAGGCGGCGGGTTCTATGGGTATCACCTATGAAGCATTGATATGAATAGTAAATCTGGATAAAGCTCAAGAAATGGGGACAATGCCCGAAAAACAGGAGAGGGACGCCAATGGGCACAATTGAGTTGGGAGCTTCAACGGGGCAGTTTCGGTGGACTTTTTCTGGGCTCCAGCGGAAAGTTTGCATGCGTTGCACTTGAGGGCTTTGTTGCATGCCGTAGTCCTCCGATCGCTCTCCGGATCCAGCCAGGATCATACGACAACTATCAGCATCGGTACCTAGCTATGTGCTGTATTTAAATCTGTATAACTGAATTTTGGACAAACAAATTCACAAAGTGTCCCTTATTTGTACAGTGTAGAGATACCATCGCACCCAGCTCCTATGGCTTTATCGCGGACAGTATGAAATGTTCTAGATATTCAGAAATTGCTACTGAAGGTACTCCGTACGCCGAACCAAAAACGTACACATGACAGCACATGGTCAATCACTGATTCCGCCTTGTATATGATGCTAAGACTGTAAGAGAGTGTCCTCGTCTCCATCCCCGTCTTCATTCGCCTCAAGTCGAGGACTGCTTGGCCGAGACTCGTCAATGGATACTGCATAGCGTTAGCATTCCGTAAGTACTCGGTGGAAGGGAATAATGCCGAACCATTTGGCGTTATATAGAAGCTACTGCAGAGCGCCAATACAAACACAGCTGCGAGAGAAACGAAGACTGTTTGGGTATATTTGCCCACTGTCAGGCTATAGACGAGATTGCATAAAGTAGGCGCGATCACTCGAGCCAGAGCATGTAAGAGACCTTTAGCACCGAGTATTTGCCCGACTCGATCACGAGGCACGTGTTTGGTCAGCGATGATTGCAGCGTAGGAGTACCTAGGCTTCCTAGAGCGGCAACGATGCCCGAAAGAGTCATAAGCGCGCTGCTTCGTACTAGTGCATATCCCACATAGCCAAGAAGATCGAAAAGGATGGATATCTGTATAACAACAAGCTCCACCTTATTGGAGCCGGGAATAGCGCGCTGTCCGGCGGTGCGCTTGTGGAAGATGCGTGTGACAATAGGATGCACCAAGAAAAGAACGATGACGCGGACAGTGCTGACGGCCGAGATGAAGATGCTGGATTCGACGTTTCCCCATCCAAACATGAATTCAGCATAGATGATCACAATCTGGGCGGTGCCAAAGGCAACAGCAAATACGACTGTATCAATGGCAGCAAGAAGTAGAATGTTTCTTCGCAGGGCAGGGCTTGCGCCCTTGCGGTTAGGAAAAAGAGAGCTGGGGCGTCCAACCGGTGGACACAAAATCGAGAGTGGTGTGATGAGGTTCTTTGGGTTTAGATGTTGAAACCAAGTAGAAGAAAACCAGCCAGCAGTTCCCTTTTGAGTCAACCTCATCCGGTGTTTCTCTCTCGCAGCGTTCTGTTGCTCCTTTGACAGCGATTCTGGAATGACAAGCAGAACCATGATGAAGAAGAGCGCATGGAATGCCAGGCCCGCAGCGAAAATGTGTATCATCTCTCCGGTCCTCTTCATAACGATCGCTGCAATGAGTGGTCCAGACGCCAATCCGATGAAGAGAGCACCATGGAGATACCCAAACGCCACGCTACGTTTTTCTGCGGCAGTACAATCGGAAGCATAAGAGGTAGCAAGGGCCAATACCGTGGTAAAAGAGCCCCCAATGCCGTCCAGTAGAGCGCCTACTAGGAGGAGGTTGATGGAATATTGCTCTGGTCTGGCTGCTACGAGGACTGTGAGTGTTTCACCAAGCACAGCCCCAAGCGAGCTCAGTGCGATCAACTTTGTCCTGCCATAACGGTCTGACATATGACCGAGTCGCGGACTGACCAATGCGGATAGGATTCCTGCTATCAGATTGAGGTAGAGCTGGAATCGAGCCACGAGAGATTGCACCTCGGGCACCTGGCACTGAGGGTTGTCTTCTCCAATGATAACAGGCAGATACGTAAAGTTAGGATCCTGCGAAGCCTTCTTGGCAAGATAGTCCCTGCAAACAAGAGAAAGGACCAGATTGATCTTGGGGACGGCAACGCCGGCAAACCCTAACATGTAGAGAAGCAGAAACGGAAACAACCAAAAGACCTAGAAAGAGATCAGAACACGGTGGATGGGTTTGAATCGTGAACATTGTCACAACGCACATGAGGCCGTCTGAAGAATTCCCAGCAACCGGCCCTCTGGCCAGCTGTGTTCTGCTCCGAGCCTTCTGCATTCCCGTGGCCTAATAGTAAGGGTGTACTTTCGTGGACATGCAATCGGACTGTGTCCTTGATACTATCACTTGAACTGGTTCGAACACCAGTATTTGACGAGACAGCTCTGGCCTGCAGCTGTGTATCAGCCTCAAACGCTTCCTCGCTCTCCATTGCTAGCGATAAGGAGTTTAATAAAAGCGAGGAGTCTCCCTGGGTCCCGAGGTGATATGAGTGTGAAATCTACATTCGCGATACACTTGATAGCGGTGATGAGAACAATACTCCGCAGATTGTGAATTATATGGAGTACGGATGGCTCTCAGCCCTGGGACGAAAGAATGTAAGGATCAAGCGAGGGGATGGCCAAGAATGAAGGGAATCAGGATGATCATGGAGATAGCTGGCGGACCGAAGTGGGCGCAACATGGCAGTCAATGAACTCATGATTACCAATTCTACACGAGAACTGGGAAACCGGAGCTGGAGTGACTTTGCGGCCGTTGGGCTCTGCGTCAGCCCGATCCCGACCGACCAAGTAAATCCACAAGCAACGCTACGAGGTCATTCTTATCGGATTTTGAGATTTGAGCCGTTGCATTAATCCGGGTCGATTTTTCGATAAGGTACGCCCACTCGCCGGCCAAATCATGATTTGTTGTTGCACTTGTGCGACTTGTGAATGATGACAAAGTAACTGTCGAGGTTGATTAACTGGAGACTTAGCTATGAAATGCTCCGTCCATATCATTCATATCATCTTGATAGAGGTCAAACATTGAAGACCCAACAACGCAATGAGATTATATGATCGAACTTTTCAATTATAGGTTGCTTCGCTGCGCCCCGCAAATAAATCATCTCGCATGACAGTACAACGTAACGCCCTGAGGAAAATGGCCCCAAATATTGTATACAACGGCTGGGAACAGCCACGGTAGAAATAATCTAAATTACAAGAGAAGAAACTTGCTCACCAGCAAAGAATTTCTTCTGCTCCAGGCATCGTTCGCTCTTACAGCCTTGACAGCGCAGAGTCATCTGTAATGAGCACTTCTCTCCCGTACGGAGGTGCTCTTGGGCAATGTCTGCTAGGGCCTGGATGAAGATGGGATTGCCATTCAAACTCTCGGCTCTCTTGACACCCGGGGAGTTTGCTTCCTTGATCACTTCCAGATCCAACTCGTATAGAGTTTCAATATGATCGCTGGTGAAGGCAATGGGGACTAGAATGATATCGGTATGTCCACGCTTGACATAGTTTTCGACCGTATCGCTAGTCTGTGCTCCAAGCCAAGCAGATGGTCCCACCTGGGACTGCCAGCACAGTCGGTAGGGGTTGCTGAAATTCAATCTCTGCATGACAGCATGGACGGTTGCAGCGACTTCAGCAGGGTATGGGTCACCTAGGAGATGCGTTAGCGAGAAGGTTTTGTTTACCGGTAAGAATGAGCCTCACCTCGGTTGACAACACTCATAGGCAGACTGTGGGCTGAGAACAAGAGAACGACACCGTTTCGCTTCTCCTCCGGGTAGGTCTTCAGCTGGTCCTCGATGTTCCGGGCGAAAGCCTCCACGAGCCCAGGGTGCGTTGGCCACCGATCAATGACACTCCACTGAATGGCACCGGAGGAGTCTACGTCGCCATCTGCACGCTTGCCCTCCAGCCTCGTTCTCCATTTCCACAACTCGTTCAGCGAGCTACCCGTCGTGGAGCACGAATACTGGGGATACTGTGTGAACGCAACAGCGCGCCCTCCTCTTCCATTACCGAACCCATCTTCTAATAACTTTGTGTACATTTCCTCCGTCAGAGGGTCGGCGTACCGGAATGCGACGTAAGGCTTGTGAGGAGCCGTTTCGGGATTGATTTTGTCCAGCAATTTGCACATCTCCTCGCACTGATACTCGGACCATTTCCTGATCGGCGAGCCTCCACCAATATCAGAGTATTGCCGTTGGATCTTCGGGGTTCTCCGCTTAGCGATGAGAGGACCGAGGTACGATTGAAGTCGTCCGAGAGGAATCAGATCGCCATCGGCCTGGAATACGAAGACAGTAATTGTCAGTCTCATGTAGAGTGGTAGTATTTGGCATATTGAGGGGTGCGTACAAATAATCTGCTCAGGAAATCTTCTACTTCGTCAGTCTTTGATGGCCCACCCATGTTGAGGAAAACCATTGCCGTGGGGCCCTTGGACCCAGTTGCATCTTGAGTGACCGGGGGAACTGCTGTCGCAAGGCCCTTCCTCTGCTCCTGCCCATAAGTTAGAGCGGTGCGAGACACAGTTGATCGCACGCCCGGACAAGCTCCATTCAGTATGTGCCTAGAAAGCGTTAATGGCCGGCGGAGAGCCATGGTGAGGTGCGATGATAATGTATTTGAAAGAGTCGGCCGCTGTCGATCTGTCTATCAACAGTATACTGAGGCTACCAAAGTACACCGAAAAGTATTTTGACCACTCAATTGAAGAGTTGTGGCAAGAAGAATTGTAACCAGATCCACGGTGAACGGCAGCAGGAGAGTCCAGAACCTGGGTACCTACCTTACCTTACCTAGGTGGTTGATGACGGAGCAGCGCGGCAGCTGGAAGTTTTGGCCAATCAGTGATGACTTGGGGTCATCAAGTCTTGGTGCAAACACGTGATGTTCGTGTTTCCCCGCGTTGCTTCCATTGACGGAATCGCGTCACTTGTGAAGGCGGCGGGCACGCAGGCAGCAGAGCAGTAGGCACTCAAGGCAGAGAAGGAGGTGATGTAAATACCAACCATATCTTCTTGCTTTCAATCGTACCTCTTTTTCCCTTCTTCATTTCTACTGTAACTTTAAATCCATCCATTATTACATTACAGTGGACCAACATGGCTGATGACAATCCATACCGGGATGATGAAACGGTGGAAGAAGAGGAGGAAATCGATGAGACTGTACGCGAAATCTCTCCATTGTCAAGGCATTATGCACTAAATATCTCTCGCAGGGCTACAAAGCAGTAAAGGACGCCGTTCTCTTCGCCATCGAAGTCAGCGATTTAATGTTGACTTCGCGTCCATCATCTGACACTAAGAAGAGAGTGGAAGAATCACCAACCACCGCGGCTTTGAAATGTGCATACCACCTCATGCAGCAACGCATCATATCCAATCCTCGTGACATGATCGGCGTATTACTCTACGGGACGCAGGCGTCCAAATTTTACGACGAGGATGAGAACAGCCGTGGCGATCTATCATATCCTCACTGCTACCTTTTTACGGATCTAGATGTCCCTTCAGCGCGAGAGGTGAAAGAACTCCGTGCTCTGGCAGAGGGCGAAGGGAAAGCAAGAGATATACTCGTGCCATCGAAAGAGCGGGTCTCCATGGCCAATGTACTTTTCTGTGCGAATCAGATATTCACATCCAAAGCCCCCAACTTTCTATCCCGGCGATTGTTCATCGTCACAGACAATGATAACCCTCATGGGGATAATAAGAGTCAGCGATCGGCTGCTACCGTCCGCGCGAAAGATCTTTACGATCTAGGGGTGACCATTGAGCTGTTTCCGATCTCTCGGCCTGAGCATGAGTTCGACAGCTCCAAGTTCTATGACGTAAGACTAGCCGGTGTTGACTGCCAGGGTAGGTAACTTTGTGGCTCATATTGTACAGGATATCATCTACAAAACCTCGCCAACCGATGCAGAGGCTCCTGTGTACCTGAAAGACGATTCAAAGGCGTCGACTGCCACCGGAGACGGGATCTCGCTGCTGAACGGCCTCCTGTCCAGCATAAATTCCCGGTCGGTCCCGCGTCGAGCACATTTCTCGAACATGCCACTGGAGCTTGGGCCGAACTTCAAGATCTCCGTGACAGGATATCTCTTGTTCAAACGCCAGGCACCTGCACGCAGCTGTTATGTCTGGCTTGGCGGCGAGAAGCCTCAGATCGTCAAAGGAGTAACTACCCAGATCGCAGATGATACCGCTCGCACCGTGGAAAAGTCAGAGATACGGAAAGCGTACAAATTTGGTAACGATCAGGTCTCGTTCACTCCCGAGGAGCAAAAGGCCCTGAGACACTTCGGTGACCCAGTGATCCGTATCATTGGATTCAAGCCACTCTCCGCTCTCCCTTTCTGGGCCAACGTCAAGCACCCATTCTTCATCTACCCTTCTGAGGAGGATTACGTGGGCTCGACACGTGTATTCTCTGCTTTGCACCAGAAGCTCTTGAAGGATCACAAGATAGCTCTTGTCTGGTTCATTCCCCGCAAAAACGCGGCTCCAGTGCTGGGCGCAATGATAGCGGGTGAAGAGAAGGTCGACGAAAATGGCGTTCAGAAATTTCCTCCTGGAATGTGGATTATTCCTCTACCATACGCGGACGATGTTCGACAGAATCCTGAAACGACACTCAATGTAGCGCCAGAGCCCCTGATCGACCAGATGCGGACGATTGTCCAACAGCTGCAGCTTCCCAAGGCATCATACGAACCGCAGAAATATCCAAACCCATGTGAGCTGGGAGTTTTTCATTCACTGACGAGTAATGCTGATTGTTTCCTGCAGCGCTCCAATGGCACTATCGCATTCTACAGGCCCTTGCACTAGATGAAGACCTTCCCGAAAAGCCTGAAGACAAAACAATACCGAAATACCGCCAGATTGACAAGGTAGGTTACTTTTTGTTTTGGTTCTTCTCTTTGTCTCCGCGCTTCCTGCTACGGAGCATTGCTAACCTGCCTCAGCGTGCCGGGGATTATGTTCTATCGTGGGCCGATGAATTAGAAAAACAGTACGCGGCAACGGCAGCGCAAGGCCCAAAGAGCACCTTGGTGAAACGGAGCACCAAAGACCGAGCCGCCGATGGCGATGAAGCTTCCAGTCATCCGTCAAAGAAGATCAAATCAGAGAGCAAACCTGAAGGAGTGGAAGTCGAGGTTCGGCATCACTATGAGAAAGGAAGTCTTTCGAAGGTAAGATGGCTTGCGTGCCGACTGCCTGAAGGTTGCTAACGGGTGATATGTGATATAGCTTACTGTAGCGGTTCTCAAGGATTTTCTGACCGCTCATGGGCGCTCTACAGCGGGGAAGAAAGCGGATCTCGTTGAGCGAGTCGAGGAGTATATGGAGTCTAAATGAGAGTTTCGAATAAATGCTATGATGAGTTGATTCAGAGGCTCTGCTTCGTTAGTGGGTAATGATAAGCCTGGGTGACAGGAGAAAGGCATCATCCCTTCGACTCACGTTCATCACAATACTGATGTCCTAAGAGGACACATATCAGATTACAACCAAAAATACAAAATGTGTCTATATGTACAGGGTAAAAAGCGTCCAGGTATCTCAGATGACCATCGTCTATAAACGCCATTGCAAAAGGACCACGCAGGCTAACAAAAACAAGACTGCGAAATCAGCATTTCCCATAGACCTGACAATAGCAGACCTCCTCGTCGGGACAACTACAAAAGAGTCAGAGTCCGCTCACGCCCACAGGTATCAGGGAATATAGTCAGAGCACTTACTATACAGCCTCCTTGCCGAAAATCACATGCCACAGGAACTCCATCACGCGCCCACTCGTCGCATCGTCCCTGTCGGTGTCGATCACCCACTGCCGGAATCTGATATAATCTTCGCGCGGCCGCTGGAGGACCTGCTCCCGCGACACGGCGAACTGCGCACAGCACGCGGCGCCGACTTCCTTTGGTTTCGCCAGGAACTTCTGCTGGTGCGCTGCACCCCCGGGCATTTCCTGGGCGGGCGAAGTCGTCGCGTTAAGCGGCGGGGTGCTCGTTCCGTCGAAGATCTCCGCCCAGACGTTCTCGGTGACGTGGCGGTTGAGGCGGTGGTTGGCCTTGCAGCCTGGGTTCCAGTTGCAGCGCAGGTTGACGTACCCGTTGCGCTGGACGAAGTCGAGCTGGAGGGCGCGCATGGCTGCTACGTTGTTGTGGAGGGGGGCGTCGACGTGCCAGGCCATGAGGAAGCCGGCGCGGTGGGAGTGGAGGAAGGCAATGGTGGAGGGGAGGGCGTCGTAGTGGTCGATTAGGTAGGTGAGGTAGGCCATGGACTCGTGGCCTTTGTTCAGCGGGGTGGTGAGCTTGTGAGGGTCTGTGGTGGTTGCTTTGGAGGGGTTGACGGTGTAGATTGCGCGCTGCCAGCTGTCGGGGTTAGTTAGTAGACGGTTTGGTGCAGGACTTGATCGACGTACTCGGGCAGTTCTTCCTCGACCCACTCCGTGTGCTCTTCTTCCAGCTTAGCCATGACGATGACTTTGTCGTTTGTTCGTCCATGAGGGAGGGTTGGAACGGTCTGCGGGAAATATCGCGATTTGACCCAGTCGACCAGGTATGTGCCAGCACGGTACTGGTCGCAGAAATCTTCCAGATGCACCTTGAGAAGATACAGCGGTATTAGGAGCAGCAGAGTTGCGCAGCATATGATTCGGGAACTGTTTTTCATTGTGACTGTTGTGATTGTGACGGTGGTTTTCTCCAATATGAATGATTCGCTATACCAACCACTATAGCATATAGGGTGTATCCAAACAAAGGCACCGTGAAGATCAATACCCAAATTCAGCCATTGAGTAAGGGACCAGCCTGATATATTAAAAGTAATATGGGGTCAAGTAAAAGCAGCCGGATGAGAGCAGGGCCGCTGGGGAAGTATATCAACCGCAAACTACCAGAGGTAACAGAAGCTGAAGAGAAAAGAAGAACTCAGGAGCGAAAAGGGTGAACTTTGTACTAGCTTCAGAGTCCAGAGCAGCCACCCCCGAAGAAGGAACCCGTCCATATTGGATTTGGGGGCGATCAGTGTTAGGCTGATTCGCCTCTCAATCACCGGGTTGGGGCCCTGGGGGTTCATTTTGGCATTGGATTTTGACTTGACTCTGAGGGGCATGGTTCTTCTTCTCCACTGGCTGGGCCACGCGTTAGTCACCACTACGTACTAACTAACTAAAGTCTGTGTTAGCAGTAGTAAGGAAGTAGTGTTAGGCAGTCACTAACCAGAAGCCACTAACCACAGCTTCGTCCAAACCTAAACATACAAAATCCCTCAAGGGCCCAGGGGTCATCCAGTCGGCGTCCTTCGTTCACCATTCTAGGGGTCTTTGCCGTTATTTAGCGTCTTTAGCGGGGAAGCTTGGCGCTCACGACAGCAGTCACAGCGCAAAGTGGAAATTTGGAAGGGACTCGCTCACAGACGGCTCAGTGCACTATTGTTGCAAAGGTTGTTCGCGGGCCCCTGACACTTCGTTCAATTACCAATGCTCATCATGATCGCATTGAGGGGCGAAATGTGACCTCAGTCTGTCATCGTGAGGGGGCATGTCGGACTGGTTCTGAGGCCATCAAGAGCCACATTGAA